ATTTTTATGGAAAATTAACAAACGAACAGAGACGTAACAATAGGTTACGCTCATTGTTGGATACGTTATATTATAACAATATTAAATATGATTTGTTTTTGTTTGTTTGGGCAGTACAAACTACTATACCTATCCCCACGTTTCTCATTTGTTGAAGTAATGATAACAGATTACATGTATTGTTGGATCTATTAGACTATGAACATTTTTGTATGACCACTCATATAATGAATTTAACTCATTGTTGGATCTGTCGGGTTGTCTGCCAAAAGACACAATAGTTTAGAGATATGCTGGTGTTTTTATTCGTTATTCGGAATTTAAAAACTGTCTGCTAGACTATTAAGACTTTTTTAACCTGAAAAAATTAAGCGGCAGTATAGCCATGTTCGATAATGCCGTAAAATTATTGCTATTCTAATCATTTAAGTTTTAATCGTTATCAGAAGTTATCAATATTAAATTAACTTAAGATATCTTATTTGCAACTTACGTAAACAAAACAATAAAGATAAATATGTCATAATTTACTCACGTTTTTATCTTAATAAGTGTCGAATTATTTCATTATGAAAATTTCATATGTGAAACATATTTACTTTTTTCGTGATTTACATTCAAAGTAAAGTATGGTAAAGTTCTGTATTTAAGTCTTTCGTACAAAAGTTAATGGTGATTTAGTTAGTTTTCTCCATTAAAACCTTACTTAAGAACTGTGATGTTTATTTTTCGCTAGAGATCAACAACAATCCGATTCTAACAAGTCAACTTACGAAAACTTCTGTTTCTGCGGAGAAAAAGCGGCCCCTAAGGGAAGATAGAAAAAATAACTCGGTCGACCAGCTGGAAGAATTCAGCGGTAGTAATAGTGACGATCCTTCTGTGTTACTTAACCCACACAAAGATTACAACTCTATAATCAGTTGGATGTCACTGTAAGTGTATTTTCGTATAAAGTTTGTGAGAATATTGAAAAGATTGCAATAGCTGAGATAGCAGTTATTTGATTATTATCACGTAAATAAGTAGTTTAAACAGAGCTCGTTGCTTTCACCTGATCTGTGTATTACAAAACAAAAAAAACGCAAATTAGCATCATCATGCACTTCCGTAACTACGCACACCCCTTTGTGTTCAGTGAGTTGGACTTTTCCAATGCTGCTAATGCAGCAGTGGTAAAAACTCGTATGATCTTCTACTTGCATGTTACATGTTAATTAAGATGACGCTATTAAGGAAATCCTGATATCCAGTTTTAATATTTAGCCAAATGCTTCAGTTTTAGTTTATTATTTATGAACATTCCAAAGTAAGTTTCTATAATTCATTCTGTTAGTGTTACTGCTAGTCAGTGGGCCATTTACGAAAGCTACGTAAAACAAATTGTATTGCAATGCTTCAAATGTTTAAGTTAATAAAAAAATGAAATGTTGCAGTGCGATAAAGAACTTTTAGAATTGAGCTACATGATGTATAAATAACATAAGACTAAAATTATTTCACTTGATAGATTTTTATAAGTTACGTAATTTCCAGGA